GCGACGTTTCGACGAAGTCTCATTCGTCATCTTCAGGCTTGGTGCTTCCAGGAGCAATGTGAGATCTCGGATCCCAGCGTCGCCAAGACATCTCCAATTTTACGCGGGAGAAAACCCGAATAACTACAGACCTACATATATATATGGATTATTATAATTGTTAATCATTTATTTGACTATAACTATTATTACTTCATTGTATGCATAATATTCTAAATTTAACTAAATTTAAATTAGTTTTTATTATAACATTTCATTATATCATGCTGTATCCTTCCAATAGTAGTGCAATCTTATATCTCTTGCCATTTGTAGTGTTTGTGTTCTGATTGCTTTCTTGGTAGATCTTATATGGACTTCTCTTGGCAACTTGTTTTTCATTGTATATCTTGTAAAGACTCAAAACCAATGGTGGGTTTTAAAATTTTTTGAAACTCTTCTGTAGGTGTTGTCTATTTTGTGGGAGTGGTTTGCCAACCATGTGACCGGGTTGGGAGTGGCTTGGTAGTCATGTGACTGGGTGGGCAAGGCCAACTTGTAAAATGTGGTGAAACTCATTTAACAATGCTCTTGCTTAGCAACCAAAATGTTGGCTCAGAAACTCTAGCATTTGAAGCACGCAAGTCTTAAAGCTGTAAAGTTACAAGACCCTTGCACTCCTAACCCTTAAAAAAAACCTAGGGGTGTTCAAACTTGACAGCTTTAAGACTTTAAGGTTTAGATAGAACTCTTAGAGTCGGGCGGGGTGATTGGTGAGCCAGCCATCATTGAGCAGCTGGCGGGACAAGTGTGGTGCGGATGGGCAGGGGCAGGGAGCTGGAACCAGTTCTAAACGGCATGGTTGATTTGTGGAACCTCTTCTATAGAAGAGGTTGGAACTGGCAGGAACCCATCCCTGCTCAAAACCCTCCATCTGTTCCTTCCATCAACTTCCCTTTGGTTATCACCGATGCTTCTGCCAAAATTTCTCTCATTACTTTCGCCAAATTTTCTCCCTTTTCTTCTTCTATGTTTTAGAATCTGAGGTAAAGTTCCAATCTGTAAATCTCCCATTTTGATATTCCACTCCTGTCATTTCCAACCACACTCAATCTGCTGTCAATATCAACAATTTTCTTATCTCTTTGTTTATCTTTTTCTTCAATTTTTTGAACTCTGTCCTCAAATTTCATCATAGATATTCTCAATTTTTTCATCTATTTTTTCTGTTCTTTGTTCTATATTCTCCAGTCTTTTTTCAATGCTCTCAGTTCTTACTTGTATTTTTTGAATTTCTTGCATAATCATTTGCAATGTTAATTCCTTTTCTTTTTGATGTTGCATCATTCCTCCAGATAGTAAACACTGCCACTATGGCATCCAAAGCTTTTTTATTAAATTCCAAACAAATTCACTTTCAAGTCAAGGCTTTCTTTTCATTCCAGTCCAGCTACTGATAGTACCCCAGAGGAGCACCTGTATATACTATCCGTGCTCTTCCCGCTATCATTTTCAATTAACAAGCTCAGAAACCTTGAAATGTAGATCAAATGTTCAAAGAGAAAAAAGAAAAAGAATGTTTCCAAGCCTCCAAGCCTCTAAGTGGCAGTTACTTCTTTTTCCTCTGCTTTTACTCCCCTCTTCATATTCCAAACTTAAGGAGAAAGGTTCTTAGAAAAACAATCCAATAGCGCATTGAAAAAAAGAAAAAGAAAAAAATCTTAATCAATAAATATTTAAAAATAGAAAAATAGAAGAAAAAAACCAGTCCAGTTTAAAAAGTAAGAAGCATTTGTAAAAATTCCATCCATAAAAAAAATAAAGAAAGATAGCGCACTAAGTTTGACTCAGGCTTAATCTCACCTCTTAACCTCTTCTGTCTTCAATTTTAATTTTGCTTTGGATCTTTTGGGGTGTTGTCTTCTCTAATAATAAAATTTATCTCACCAATTTGACACACTTTCTCTCCCGCTTTCCTTCCATTCTGGAGCTGTCCCAACTTTCAGCAGGTTCAATGACTGCTTCTCTGTGGCCAGAAAAAAGAGCTTCTCCTAGATCTACCAGGATCTTTGCAATGTCCCTGGGATTGTTCTCTTCTCCATCACCATATCTACGGGATGGTTTAGGTCCAAAAGGACCATCTAGCAACAGAGATAACAATGGCGATCTTGGAGCTCCAATATCAGACATTGTATCGTCTCAACGTCATCCCTGCCTCCCATTTTTAACCTCAATTTTGAGGGCCTTCAATGTCATCCATGTTTTATACAAACCCATCACTTTGGTGTATGTATCAGGCCCAACCTCCAGCAGCCAGGGATGCCCTGTTCCCCACTCCTCTACCCAACTAGGTACTCGAAGCCCGCCTACCTGTTCTTTTATCTTTCCAGGGAGATTCTGGCGAGTGCACCTGCCAGCCTGGCCCTCGGACGGACACAAGCCATGGTCTTCCGGTAAGCGTCGCCCCACACTCCTTCTTCCCCGCAGCCCTGGGGATTTGCTGCCAGGCTGGATGAGAGTTCAAGCCACCCGTACCCCATTCTTCGCTCAACTGCTCAACGCCTTTGCTGCTCCGGAAGCTGGAACCCGTGTTCTGCTTGGCCTTTGCTAAATGCTCTCCCCTTTTGGACCCACAGGGCGCTCCGGGACTGTGGATCGGGAACCCCTGGCAGCCTCAGCCAGGCCCTCAGGTGTGTGTGTGGGTGTATGTGCATGCTTGCTCCTCTGTGCGTAGCAACTTTGGCTCCTCGATCCTGGGGAGAGTTCCGTGTCCTCTGAAGAACCTTTGCTATCCCTTTTTTCTTTTCCTTTCCGGATGACAGGGACCTCCAGGTGCTCCAGGACCGCCAGGCCCACCGGGAGCCCCAGGAAGTCAGGTAAGGGATTGTAGGGCCGGATTTACTTTCTGACAAACAGGAACCAAGAGTAGAAATAATCATTATGATCACCTTTGGAACTGAGGAGGCCTTGTGAATGTAGCACCACTACAGTGATCCTCGTTAAAGTGGTAGANCTTTCTTGGTAGATCTTATATGGACTTCTCTTGGCAACTTGTTTTTCATTGTATATCTTGTAAAGACTCAAAACCAATGGTGGGTTTTAAAATTTTTTGAAACTCTTCTGTAGGTGTTGTCTATTTTGTGGGAGTGGTTTGCCAACCATGTGACCGGGTTGGGAGTGGCTTGGTAGTCATGTGACTGGGTGGGCAAGGCCAACTTGTAAAATGTGGTGAAACTCATTTAACAATGCTCTTGCTTAGCAACCAAAATGTTGGCTCAGAAACTCTAGCATTTGAAGCACGCAAGTCTTAAAGCTGTAAAGTTACAAGACCCTTGCACTCCTAACCCTTAAAAAAAACCTAGGGGTGTTCAAACTTGACAGCTTTAAGACTTTAAGGTTTAGATAGAACTCTTAGAGTCGGGCGGGGTGATTGGTGAGCCAGCCATCATTGAGCAGCTGGCGGGACAAGTGTGGTGCGGATGGGCAGGGGCAGGGAGCTGGAACCAGTTCTAAACGGCATGGTTGATTTGTGGAACCTCTTCTATAGAAGAGGTTGGAACTGGCAGGAACCCATCCCTGCTCAAAACCCTCCATCTGTTCCTTCCATCAACTTCCCTTTGGTTATCACCGATGCTTCTGCCAAAATTTCTCTCATTACTTTCGCCAAATTTTCTCCCTTTTCTTCTTCTATGTTTTAGAATCTGAGGTAAAGTTCCAATCTGTAAATCTCCCATTTTGATATTCCACTCCTGTCATTTCCAACCACACTCAATCTGCTGTCAATATCAACAATTTTCTTATCTCTTTGTTTATCTTTTTCTTCAATTTTTTGAACTCTGTCCTCAAATTTCATCATAGATATTCTCAATTTTTTCATCTATTTTTTCTGTTCTTTGTTCTATATTCTCCAGTCTTTTTTCAATGCTCTCAGTTCTTACTTGTATTTTTTGAATTTCTTGCATAATCATTTGCAATGTTAATTCCTTTTCTTTTTGATGTTGCATCATTCCTCCAGATAGTAAACACTGCCACTATGGCATCCAAAGCTTTTTTATTAAATTCCAAACAAATTCACTTTCAAGTCAAGGCTTTCTTTTCATTCCAGTCCAGCTACTGATAGTACCCCAGAGGAGCACCTGTATATACTATCCGTGCTCTTCCCGCTATCATTTTCAATTAACAAGCTCAGAAACCTTGAAATGTAGATCAAATGTTCAAAGAGAAAAAAGAAAAAGAATGTTTCCAAGCCTCCAAGCCTCTAAGTGGCAGTTACTTCTTTTTCCTCTGCTTTTACTCCCCTCTTCATATTCCAAACTTAAGGAGAAAGGTTCTTAGAAAAACAATCCAATAGCGCATTGAAAAAAAGAAAAAGAAAAAAATCTTAATCAATAAATATTTAAAAATAGAAAAATAGAAGAAAAAAACCAGTCCAGTTTAAAAAGTAAGAAGCATTTGTAAAAATTCCATCCATAAAAAAAATAAAGAAAGATAGCGCACTAAGTTTGACTCAGGCTTAATCTCACCTCTTAACCTCTTCTGTCTTCAATTTTAATTTTGCTTTGGATCTTTTGGGGTGTTGTCTTCTCTAATAATAAAATTTATCTCACCAATTTGACACACTTTCTCTCCCGCTTTCCTTCCATTCTGGAGCTGTCCCAACTTTCAGCAGGTTCAATGACTGCTTCTCTGTGGCCAGAAAAAAGAGCTTCTCCTAGATCTACCAGGATCTTTGCAATGTCCCTGGGATTGTTCTCTTCTCCATCACCATATCTACGGGATGGTTTAGGTCCAAAAGGACCATCTAGCAACAGAGATAACAATGGCGATCTTGGAGCTCCAATATCAGACATTGTATCGTCTCAACGTCATCCCTGCCTCCCATTTTTAACCTCAATTTTGAGGGCCTTCAATGTCATCCATGTTTTATACAAACCCATCACTTTGGTGTATGTATCAGGCCCAACCTCCAGCAGCCAGGGATGCCCTGTTCCCCACTCCTCTACCCAACTAGGTACTCGAAGCCCGCCTACCTGTTCTTTTATCTTTCCAGGGAGATTCTGGCGAGTGCACCTGCCAGCCTGGCCCTCGGACGGACACAAGCCATGGTCTTCCGGTAAGCGTCGCCCCACACTCCTTCTTCCCCGCAGCCCTGGGGATTTGCTGCCAGGCTGGATGAGAGTTCAAGCCACCCGTACCCCATTCTTCGCTCAACTGCTCAACGCCTTTGCTGCTCCGGAAGCTGGAACCCGTGTTCTGCTTGGCCTTTGCTAAATGCTCTCCCCTTTTGGACCCACAGGGCGCTCCGGGACTGTGGATCGGGAACCCCTGGCAGCCTCAGCCAGGCCCTCAGGTGTGTGTGTGGGTGTATGTGCATGCTTGCTCCTCTGTGCGTAGCAACTTTGGCTCCTCGATCCTGGGGAGAGTTCCGTGTCCTCTGAAGAACCTTTGCTATCCCTTTTTTCTTTTCCTTTCCGGATGACAGGGACCTCCAGGTGCTCCAGGACCGCCAGGCCCACCGGGAGCCCCAGGAAGTCAGGTAAGGGATTGTAGGGCCGGATTTACTTTCTGACAAACAGGAACCAAGAGTAGAAATAATCATTATGATCACCTTTGGAACTGAGGAGGCCTTGTGAATGTAGCACCACTACAGTGATCCTCGTTAAAGTGGTAGACTCAGAAATCCCCCCCTGATGTTCTTGGCTGCACAAAATCCCAATCAGTAGCATTTTGAGCAGTAGTAGCTAAGTTCTAGCCTTCCAGATGTTCTTGGCCAAACAACTTCCTTTATTCCTGGCCATCAGCCATTTTAACTGCAACCGATGGGAGCAAAAGCTCAGCCGCTTCTGAAGGACCACCATTTTCACCCAATAAGTGCTTTGAAGAGATAGGTGACATAGGAAATTTCTCATCAAGCCCCTAGCAGCAAGATTCTCGGGGTCAACGTTAACCAGATTGAAAAGCAAAGGGATTTGGTATCAGAAATGTTAGCAGCTGGATGCATTTACTTTTAACATCCAATTTCCTTAGCTAAATGTCCATTGACACAATGAGATGGCTACCTGTTTTGCTGATAAAAGAAGACTGTGCAGGCATCTGTGCTAATAATGTTTTGCGAATGGCCAACCTACTTCCCAGGCTCTGAAAAACCCATTACAATTCTGCTGCCATGATTTTTTTCCCTACAGGACACCCTTTCATTTGAATGATCCATAATGAACAAGTGATGCTCCCCAGCAATCCCTTTAGTGGGACAGTATCACCAAGAGTGCTGTTCAGTGGTGCGTTCCTACCAGTTCGGACCGGTTTGGCTGAACCGGTAGTGGTTTGAGGGCCTGGGTCGCTGGAATCGACAGTGACCCAGGCCTCCCACACCCTCGAACTGGTTCACTGGATGGCGCCGGAGGTGACGCCATCTTGTTTTCTGCTTCTGCACAAGCGCAGAACAATTTTTATTGTACTGAGCATACGCATGCAGCACGCATCAAGCACACGCAGAGTGCATCAAGTGCACACACATGTGCAAAGAGCCCACAAGCAAACCAGCAATAGTGATTGCCAGAACCCATCCCTGGTGCTGTTCCTTTCTATTTTTCCTGTTCAATCCAGGAATACTGATCTGAAGATAACTGAGAGAGCAGCACTTGTTTTACCAAGAAACAGCAGAATGGTTGACTAGTGGTGTGGAGGGAGAGCCATAAGTGAAGAAGCAACGGATATGTCTTCCTCTAGAGTCCTTTCAGGTTCTCCTCATTTTTATGATAGCTACAAATCAAAACTTGAGAGGGATAGTGTCACGATCACGTGAAGCATTAGTACCTGCCTTGGTAAAACCACACTTGGAATCCTGCATCTAATTCTGTCCAACACAATGCAAAAAAGATGTTGAGACTCTAGAAAGATTGCAGAGAAGGGAAACAAAGAGGATTGCCCCAAAGGTGCTTTTCAAGAGACAATTGGATTTTCTGGTTTTTCTTTGAATGTTCTTTACTGTGACTTTTCATTTTCAAAGAAAACTAAGGAAGTCCAGTTGCCTCTTGAAAAAGCACCTTTAGGACAACCATGACCTGGATGACTGAGAATCTCCAGAGACATTAAACAAAGAGGATTAAGGACTGGTGGGAAAGCATATGATGAATGATTAGGAGAATTGGGTATGAATAGTCTAACAAAGCAAGGGATCCGGTGGCTCAGTGGCTAAGACACTGAGCTTGTCGATCAGAAAGGTCAGCAGTTTGACAGCTCGAAACCCTAGCGCCACGTAACAGAGTGAGCTCCCGTTCCTTGTCCCAGCTTCTACCAACCTAGCAGTTCGAAAGCAGGTAAAAAATGCAAGTAGAAAAATAGGGACCATCTTTGGTGGGAAGCTAACAGCATTTTGTACACCTTTGGCATTTAGTTTTGCTGACCACATGACCACGGATATGTCTTCGGACAGCGCTGGCTCTTCAGCTTTGAAACAGAGATGAGCACTGCCCCCTAGAGTCAGGAACGACTAGCACATGTGCAAGGGGAACCTTTACCTTATG